CATTCACTTTTACTCTTTCTCAGTGACATGCCACTTCATTGCGTTAAAATTAATAAATTAAAAAAAATTTTAATATTATACTAAAGAGTCACATACACACATATGAACTAAGCTTCAATCTAAGAAAGTTTTCATACTAGAGGGGCAGTTATACAGGACAGTTTGCGACCCTATTTATGATCTTTCATGCTCACTACAGTGATTAGTATAAAATACTAGTTTTACAATATTTTCATTTTACACAATGAAATAAACATATTAATCTTGCGCAGATAGTCCTGCAACTCAAACAGTAAAAGCATGATGCTTACAACAGCTCAGGGGTTCAATTCCCAGGGAATGCATGAACTAATACTATGTAAACCTTCAATGCAAAGTCGCTCTGGATAAAAAGTGTCTACCAAATGCATAAATTTAAAGGCCAAAGCTACATTGTGAAAACATTCAACCTACAGCTACATAAGTAACATGCATTCAACTAATTCAACTAATATCATTTCAAATTTTTACCATGGATACATCCAGGTCATTCACAAAAGGAACCAACATTTAATTAAAGGTTTGTGGGTGTGATTGGATTATCTGTGAAAATGCAACAGGCCACATCCACACGCCTGTACAGCAGTTCCTCATTAACACAGGTCAGCTAATTGATTTAAAGCCTAGAATGTCGTGCAATTAGTGTAAATCAACACGCAAAACCTAAAAAACTAAACAAAATCAAAAACATAGAAATGCATAATTACCTTTGTTGACTAGATTTGCATTTCCTGAAGGAAACAGCAATTTTGTAAGAAAGCAAAAAAGGAAGAAAAAGCCAATCATGCAAAAACACTGTAAAATGACTTTTCAAAGATATAACAAGGATTACTGATGCAGGTTTTACAAGAAAATATTTCATCATTTCTAATGTGTTACTTGCTATTCATTCTAATTAATCGTGAAATTTACTAGCAATTTCTGAGTGAACATTGTTTCAATTTTTCATCAAGTGTAAATACATAAATGCAAAAGAAATAATAAATGCAAATCAGATTATTATTTCCTTATTACAATATTAATGATGTACAATTTATAAGGATATTCTTTTTGTGCCTACACTGTAAAAAAAAAACACTGAAGTACGTTTTACAAAAAAATACTATTTCAGTCTTTCAACTTCACAATTTCCTGTTTAATGCAATGTGTTAATTCTGCAATTTACTCGCAATTTCTCCATTTCTGCAATGGATTGTACAACCAATTTTTGTACTGTAACTTACTCAAATTCGAGTAATAAAGTAACATCTTCCTCTAGTTAACATCAGAGCAACCAGAAATACATACAACACAATACAATAAGGAATGACTCAAAACTGCTCTGATTCCTGTTCAGGTTTGGCATTAAGGGCCTTTCACTGATGCCCAGATGGCCCAAAAGCCCCTTTTATCAGAAAAATCCCACTCCAAGAGACTCCTTGGGTGTTTGTTAGGAAATCCCAGAGTTTATCAGTGTAAAGTCTGTAATAGGCGCGTCTAGAAAATGATTTGGCCCTCGAATCTGTCCATTTCTACTGACACTCAGCACAACCACCTGAAGGCAGACTGTCTTGTGTTTAGACTCGAGCACTGGAACGGAAATAAATCGCTCTTGTCTTTTGTCTCCTGTGTTTTAAGCTGAGGTCAAACTGACAGCAGACTGAGGGTCAGTAAACATGGCTGCTGTCAGTGTGTGTTATCACCGACCGGCTTGATTAATGAAATACGGTATTTTATTGTGAATTTAAGTTAAGTCTGTAAAACCTAAAATGTTGCTACCATATTTTTACGGTGAAGTTCTGGCAACCACAGCTGCCGGGATTTTACCGTAAATGTCACAGATTTTTTTTACAGTGTATGCAAAAAAAACTCTGCAATCGCAATCTAAATGTATTTGCAATGCACTTAAAAAAAAAAACTCAAGTGGGTTTCAATTTCTGTACAGATACAAACCTTAAAGTCTTGTCTAAAAAAAGTCAGCTTTTTAATATATTGAATAAACCATTGTTGCACAATAGTGGGGCAAGTTGTCACAATCGAACCTGCCTTTAAACAGTCTAATAATTTCAGCCTAATTTAAACAGTAAAGAGTCAAAGCAAATCACGTAACAAAAACATCTAATATATATATAAAAAATCTTTATTCATTTAATAAATCTAAGTTTAGTTTAGTTTAACTTGATGTACTAAAAGAACTAAAAAGTAATTAAAAATGAATAAAAGCTATGAAATTACAAAAAAAACAACTGAATGACAAAAACAAAACTAAAATGTAAAATATTAAAATAAAAACTCAAAATATTAACAAAACCTATAATGGTATTGGAATGATACTAAAATAACAGTGATTCACTGTAAAAAAAAAACTTCTGATTTTATAGATTCATTCGAATTTACTGTTTTGCCACAATTTTATTTTTTATAAATAAAATTGTGGCAAAATTTATTTATAATTATAAATGTTACTTAAATCATGTTGTATTTATAATTATGTTACTTAAATCATGTTGTATTTACATTTTAAGGTGACTAGTTAAATGTAAAAAAAAACAAAAACATATATATATATATATATATATATATATATATAAATACCTTTACCAGCATCTTTGGACCATTAAGAGTCCTGACTTGTTTAAAATATTCAAAATTATTAATTATCGAAGGGAAGATATTAATAAATCAAGGGAAAATACACATCTTATCCCTTCCTTCATTCTAGACATCCTAATTGGTCATCCAAGGCTTTAGATTTCATTAAGGCTGGGAAAATCTCTGGAAGATTCTGTAGTCTCTTTAAGACGAGGGTTGATCGCCGTGTCAGTCAGTCTCAGGAGTATTAACCTGGCCAGCTGGCTTTAAGGAAACCATCACAGGCCGAGACTTTCCTGTACCGAACCGCCGCGAGCCACGATAACACTAGGAAGCCACGTTTAAAACAATTAATAAAGAGTCTGAGCAGTTTGTTGCCAGTTTGAGGTCAAGTGTGGCATCGTTTGATGAGGTCAGTTCTGAGTCTAATGAGCTACATGGGGTCAATTTAGAGTAATTATGAGCAGGTAAAGCCAATCTATTATACAGTCAGTTAATAAACACCAACAGTGAATTCATCAGTTTATTAAAAATAAAATTGAAATTAATATATATATATATATATATATATACACACACACACA